TGGCCATCAACTGGGAAGCACATCAACCTGTCAGCTTGCAGCCCAATCCCACATGAGAGTGGCTCACATCTGGGGATGGGATGCTACTGGGATGATTGTGTTTTAAGTGGGGGGCAAAGAAGGGCTTGCAAGACCCTCCACACAGCCTGTTCGGTGGTCTGGATTTTCATTGTCTTTGCTGAGCCGCATTTCCTAGTTGGTTGTCCTTGATTTAAGTGTGGTCAGAGTATCGCCACAATGCAAATTTGTTTGCGAGGGTCTGTCCTGTCCAACACAAGTCACCACCTAAATTCCTCTTCGCATAAGCGCGTGATGCAGCCCGAGCATGTTGTCAGGCATTGTTTGTCCAAAAAGCGCATAGTTTTGGGAAGCCCTAACAGTAGGATGGTGAACTTGAACACATGCCTGCTTTTTTCTTATCAGATGAGAACAAGCTGCCAGGGTAGGGTTGCAAGCAGTTTCATCAGCGTTCTTGAAGTGTTATGTCATGTAATGGCTATCGTGAAGTTTCATGACTTACAGCTGAGGGGGGGATACGACCTTTAAGTAAACCCTCCGCACTTGTTTAATGCATGGGGACTTGAGCCCAGCGTAGAGTGTAAGTGCATGCAGAAGTTGTAAAGGCAAAACAAGCACAGAGAGAGGCAAGGTAATTTTCTCATATAGCCAAAGCGAGCCTTTGGAAATGCACATGACAGAAGCTTTGCATGCCCAAAAACAATTCAAAGCACACGGAACCAATGCCGCTCAACTGTCCGCCCAACTGCATCCCATACTCATTTACAAGACATGGATGCCCTCTGTTGTTATTTCTTGTCACTGCCTCCCCGTGCCTGCTAACCCCCCCTTAGGCGTGGTAGCCGTTTCTCAGGTTCCTTTTCCAGAATCACACCCAGTCAAACCCTATTTCCGTTATCTGTCGCTGCCACGGGAGGCCCATACCCGACCGGTGGGTTCTGACAGAGCAAAACCTGAAAGATGCGTCGTCGGCCAAGCCACACGATTCATCGAGCTGCTATGAATCACCACATCCAGGCGAAGCCTGCGCAGATTTTGTATCCAATAAATACAACCCCTCTGTGAAGTTGGGTTTTGGTGCTTGCATAAGCACTACAATTACCACTTGTGTAGCTGTGACCATCAAGCAGAATTACAACTACTTGAATGAACTATACGCAATTGCGCTGGCAGGGTCAACCTCCGCTTGTTTCCTAACCGCAACCCGGGAGCTTCAACAGTATCATTAGTTCTTTACCCGCTGTACGGTGGGTGTGCAGTCATCAACTCATCGTCAGTGTCCAAAATGGTGACAAGCCGGTCCTCACCACTTGCTAGTGGCATCTCTATATCTCCGATGGGTCATCGAATTTCTCATCAAAACTAAGTCACTTGCTGATCTTGGTAGAATTCCAAGTCAGTCCCATAGTGAGCAGCAACACTCATACCGGCAGATGATAGTGCGAAAGGTGACGGCGATGGAGGAAAGTGCAGGTCTGTGGCTGTTCTTGTTTTTCATGCTGCGTCCGTTTTAAGCCGAAGGTGGCAGCTTGTAGAACGACAGTAATCACAAATGCACCCTGCGGCCATGCCTCAAAGGAAATAAAGTGCGAGGTGTTTCGGTCAGTTGCCTCGGGGGAAACATCCCTGTATACAAGCTTCAACCCATGAATGCTGTTGTCATTGGAGTATGCGAATCCAGCATCAGCATACGCAAGGGTACTATAGTGCTTCCGAGACTGGCTTTAAACAACCAGCATCGCAACTCTTTGCGTTTGCTTCGTAGAAGGGCTGGTAAGCCTGAGCGTGTGGCAAGACAACTCCAGCCAGTGCATACTCTTTGCCACACTTAGAGTTGGGCGAATTCAAGAGCTTCAAACTGGAGCCACAGTAACGGGCGTCAGAAATTAGTCTGGTATATGATATGGCGGAAAATGCTGAAATTCACAGAGATGTTTTGTGACGGAAAAGCGTTAATTACAGTAATTCCATTAGTTCATTGATTCCATTAGTTCCATTAGTTCCACTAATTCCATTAATTCCAGTAATTCCAGTAATTCCAGTAATTCCATTAATTCCATTAATTCCATTAACTATGTTAACTATATATTAATTCCATTAATACCATTAATTCCATTCCTTCCATTAATTAATTCAATTATTTCGTATAATACTTAATGAATGAACGAAATCATTAATTAGCTAATTATTTTTCAATTTTATGAATTAATTTGCTTAAAAATTCCATGACGTAAACTTAAACTTATCAAATAATTATCCTTAACGTCATTAACTACTTCACTAGTTCATCTTGTTGATACTAGAAGCCACTCAAGGTAAAAAAAGGAATATACTCATAATTTACGAATTTAAATTAATAAAACCTGAAGTTGTCCATCTACTTCTCAGTTTCGATTGCAGACGCTAGGTGATGAACCTGTTTTGACATAAGTCAGATTGTTTTCTCCCGCGCCTGTTGTCGCAGTCCTCTGGCTGAACAGCCGAAGGCAAGTGAAGAGAGAAGCCTGGCCTTTGTTGGCCTAAGTCCTACGTCCAGCGACTCAGACGTAGGCCTGGTGCCTAGGCCCTAAGTCTTGGAAGTCTAGGGTCTAAGTCTACGTCTGAGTCAAGTTTGAGCACGTCGAATCCATTTTAGATGTGTGTAAGTCCAAGCTGTGACATAAAACGCAAACTTTGTGACTTTGTTAAAGCGATAGTAAACACTTTTGAAGCTTGATACGCAAGACTTAGGACCTGCGACTTGAAACTCAAGAAGCTACAAGAAGTCCGTCTTGAAAGCTCAATGTGAACAAGCCACAGTGAAAGGGAGCCCGTTGAGTTGTTCGAAAAAATAAAAGAAGCTCAAGCTTGCCGACACGACGGCATCCTGGGTCGCACACAATGCACCCACACAGGCTTTGACCTTCATACCCAAGGCCGATGCGGGCCATTACGCGGATAACTTCCGGCCCCTTGATATGCCGGATACAGCTGCTCGCATTATTGACTCTGCTGTTTTCGCTTCTATGATTTCGGCTATTGCTCCCTGTCTTAATCAGTCGCAAGCCCTCGTCAGCCATCTCAAAGAAGCTCCTGCGAACTTCATGATGGTCCAGGATTGCATCTTGTCCGAAACGCAGCCTTGCAACGTGCTGCTCAGACTCTTCGGGCCAGCACCACTGGAAAGACGAAGCGGAGGCCTTCATTGCACGGGTGGGATCGGCCCAGGCATCAAATCCCGTTCATTTCCACTGAGCTGATGCGCATCTCCATGAGCCGGATCAAGATACACGCGATATGGTTTTCACCGCCTACAGGAATTGTTTCGCGCAATTACTAAATGTTATCTGTGCGAATCTCTCTCTCCGACCAGCGGCAACGACATGCAGCGCCAGCTAGATTCTTGGCCATGACCCTCGACACTGGATTGTACCCAATGACTGGTGTGGGACCGCATACCGGCAGGCATGAGTCAGTTATGACCATCGACATGCGTCGTAGGGTCTTTTCTCAAGATTGCCGCCGGACGGGAATTCTACTGTGGACTTGTGGACTTCGTGTGCACGATCGTGACACAACAGGACCTCGGGCCGAGGATGGGCCCCACCCCCTTTGACAAAGGGGGGCTTAAGCCCCCCTTGAAGCCCCCCTTTAAGCCCCTTTAAAGCCCCCTTTAAAGGGGTCTCCCCTAAGGGGGGGGGTGAGCCGATACACCCCTTTAGGATTACTCCTGTGGGAGTGTATGACCAGTTTGAGTCCCGTGGGATCTAAGGCAACGCCCAGCACACGGACAGCGATTGTTTTGTTCTGCTACGCAGAGAGAGCTTGTTGTCAAGTCGGTAAAACCACTTGAGCCAGCGAGCAGCGGACATGTATACATGTGAGCATGCAGCCAAGCCATTGCTGTAAGTACCACCCCTTTAGAGGTTTAGGCAAACAAACAGACACTAATTTTCTTTTACTGGAAGCATGGCCGCGTGTTCACACATATACACTTGAAAGTGCTCACTGAACTCAAGACTAGCGGAGTATGGACTCATTGTAAAGGATGATATCTTAGATATTCCATAAGTTACGAAAAGTTCACACTCACTCACTTTTGAGTCTGCAAACATGAATCTTGTCATAGAGAGATCTTCTGTACTTGTACCCTGGAGGCGTAGTTAAACATTCCAAAAGCCCGAAGGGCTAAAAGTTCAGAGGTTCAAGAGTTTGGGGTTCAGGATGTTGGGAATGGACAGCAAGAACGCGCAACGACATGTTTTGGATCGCACAGCCCATACCAGTCATGCATATAAAACTTTTGGGAGACGATGCCGAAAGCATCAATCCCCTTGTATGTATGGGCTGTTTTGAACAGTCCTGAAAAAGAGAACTAAAAGGGCGGGTAGGGTGGGTAACTAAAATTTCTAAGATCCCCTCCCGATTGGTCCGCAATGTATCGGATGCATAGATCGGATTCCGCAAAAGCTCTCCAGAGATTATTCGAAAAGTCAAAGGTAAAACTGAAAAGGTTTCGTGGCCAAGGAAAAAGGCCAACTGAAAATGCACTAAAACTGACATGCCTAAAAGAGACTGAAAAACATGCAAGCACTGACATGTCTGACATGACTAAACATAAGTGCAACTGACAGAGCTGAAGACTGCATGACAATATGGCTGTGGTCCGAAGCCGCAGTGGCCGGGCGTACAACTGAAAGAACCGCCGCGTCCCTGCCATCCCCCCCACCCCCCCAGGCCTCCAGGGAACAATTCGTTTGGTTCGTTTCACTGCCCAAACAGGGCTTGTACCCTGGAGGCGTAGTTAAACATTCCAAAAGCCCGAAGGGCTAAAAGTTCAGAGGTTCAAGAGTTTGGGGTTCAGGATGTTGGGAATGGACAGCAAGAACGCGCAACGACATGTTTTGGATCGCACAGCCCATACCAGTCATGCATATGAAACTTTTGGGAGACGATGCCGAAAGCATCAATCCCCACTCAACGAAGAGGCATCGTAATGCGCCTCAGCCCCACTGACTCTTCTCGAAACGAATGCGAGAAGGAGCTTGTCCTTCGCCAGAAGCAGAGGCACGTGCATCATCCAGAGTGCTCTGAAAGTTCGCGAATCGAAGTAAAGACGGGAGCACTGAGAAGTTCAACTCACTCCAGCTGACAGTGACCCGAAGGCCCGGACAGAAATCTGAGAAATCATTCTTCGTGATCCTATCCGCCTCCTGATTCGCATCACGCGGCCTCCAGTTCAAGAGACATCTGACCCCGGCCAAGTCGCAGCGGTGAGCGTATTCCATCAGCACAAACATCACAGGGACCTTTGTCGTGAGAAGTCTGGCAGAAATGGCATCCGCCGACTTGTTGTCTGTTCCACCAGCGAAGCAGGCCCTGAAAGAGCCAGGACATGAAAACACCTCGGGAAAATCCCTCTCCAGCAGATGAAGCGCTACCAGCGAGGATAGCAGTTCAGCAGAGGTACTGGCCCAGGAGCTCCCAAGACCTTCCTTGAAGAGCCAAGGGGCTTCTTCGCGACGAAGCGTAATCTGAAACCAAGGAGCGGATTTACAGACAACACCCCTGACAAGGAACCAACCGCCTAGAACCACAGAGTCAGAGTTGCAAGCAGCGTCGGTTCTGAAGAGTTCCCCGTAATCCTTATCCGCCAGCCCCGCAGGATACGTTCGTGAACCTGCGCGGAGCCGATCAAGAATGAATCGCAGGGTGCAGCGGATCAAGTTGGGCAGTGCCAATACAGCACCTTTGCTGACCACCGCGAGCCATGCGTAGCCCGGCGCAAGGAAGGGTCTGATCCATATCAAGATTTGCGACATAAAGCCTAGCCGGCCATGGAGTTCGTGAAAACGGCGAACGTCCACAAGCCAGCCGTCTCCCTCCATGCCCTCAATCGATCGGATGATCCACTGGCATCTCTTCTCCGAAATCCCCAGCTTAAAGCGGCCATAATCAATCCAGTAACCGACCCAATCAAGTTGCAGTCCCCCGCGCCACTTCTTCTCCGAGAAGGGTGTGCCCTGCATGCACAAAAGGGCAAGGGACATCCAGAGGTTGAGCCATCGATCTGAACCGCCGCTGAGCAGGTGTAGGTCATCTGCATAAATAAGCATGAAAACAAAAGCCTGAAGCATAACTCTAAGAGACAAACGGCCCACCAGACCGATCAAGCGGGCGAACCAATAGGCCGCCGAAGCAATTCCGAAAGTTCCTGTGCGGTTAAGCCTATACAACTGATGAATCGCTCCGCGTTCTACACGCGAGCACCCCCCAATGCTCTGGGTGGTGCAAATATCGCCTGTGCGCCTTTTTCACGTCTCCCACAAGTCCGAACAGGACTTTCTCTTCTGCCACCATGCCCAGCTTCTGAATCGAAGAAATCTCCCTCGGTCCAGGCGATTCAAGACGGTCAAGCATAACAATCTCATTGTTGACGTGAACCCCGTGGGTCCCATCATGAACCACACGGAACTCATGGTCAGGTTTCGGAATCACTGCTTGAGCGGCAATGCGAAGCGCAGGACCAGGGAAGCGTGCTTTCGCCTCCGCCAAAGAAAGTGGGAACATGCGTCCTTCTGCCTCGTCTTTGGTGAAAGCCTCCTCCAAGGCCTTCTCGACTTCAGCCCCATCACGATAGTTCTGCATCAACGGCTGCCAAGTTGACTCATCGTACTTCTGATCTTTTCTGCGGATCCGGAACACTTGAGGCACTGGCCCCAATGGCGCCGTGTGCCCCACCTCGACACCGTTCACGAAGCAGAACTTCCCCTCCTCGATGATGCGATAGTCTGGGTCCCCAAGAATCCGAAGAGTCTGAGAAATCGCCCTCAAGTAGAAGGGTTGATGAGGAATCATCTCCCGAGCCCGGATGGGATCAGGCAGCATGTTGAACCAGTCCTCCCTCAGTTTTTCCAAGCGACCCTGGTCAAAGAGCGGCCCGTTCCAGTGTCCCGTCGCCAGACGAAAAGTCGACTTCGCCAAGTCTGGAACACACTCCACGACGAACATCCTGACCCTCTCTTTCAAGCGCTGCGCAAAGTCTAAGGCTTCAGCGGACATCGCCGTGCCCCGGTTGCATGGCTTCCACCGACCAGGAGAGCAGCGACCAAACCCATCGACGAACTCATCCGAGGACCCAGCGAAATCCCCCACCATCGGGGGTCCTTCGCAACCAGACTTCAGTTCACTGAATGGAATGTCGTCCTGTTCAGGTACAGTCGCAACCTCCTCCGTGTCGATCAAGAAATCAGCCGATCCCCTCTTACGTTTGCCCGGAAGCTCGAAGTGCATAGATCCAAGTTTATCCCTGTCGGCAGGAGAAAGTCGGTCGTCATTCGCAACGGTATAGCCAGCCAAGACCAGCCTGCAGCCCCTCCAATCTTCAGTGCAATGCCAGACATGGGGATCGAAGGCAATCTTGCCCCCGTCCCATTCCAGTCTGCGTCCAGGGGTCCAGGAGCCGCTAATAAAACGAGAAACCGGGCCTCCCTCAGACTGAACCCAGAGGCCCCCTCCCGAAAACTCCGAACAGGCCAACAACAAATTGTTGAAGGGACCATTCGTTGTGTCCTTATGGGGGGGCTGCTTAAGGTCACGAAAGAATGCTAATGAAGTGAAGACGCAATCAGGGAAACCGCAAGACACGAGACGTGCCAGCAGCTCCGATGCCAGAGGGAAAACATCAATGTTGCGCCTGAGCCCCTCCTTGTCCTGGTGGGTGTAAGCGCCCGTCGTGAAAGATCGCTGGCCACTGACTTCTTTGCTGGACTGCCTGACTCTATCCTCATCCGGCAGGAGTTCTGAGAGGCGGAGAAGTTGATCCCGAGAGATCCTACCCTTTCCCAAGCAGACCGCAGCCATTTGTTCCGCTTGTGAAGAATTCACTTTAACCTCAACCTCCCTAGCCGGGAACTGAAAACAGTGAGCAGATTCGGGAACCGTAGCCACCGAGGGTGCACCTCCTCCCCCATCGAAGACGGAGAAGGTCCACGAAGCGATAGCCTTGCATAAATCAGGCGGATAAGCGGCAGCAGCAGCAGTGTTGGCGGCACCCAAAAGGCGATTGGAATGCCGGTGGCCACAGTACTTGGGCAGAGGCCCCAGATACTTGTCCGCAGAATCAAATCGAGGAGGCCCCATGAATCGCATGCCAAAGGTGGCTGCGATAGAAGAAAGAAACCTGGTGGGTTTAGGCGTGTGGGCTCCGTAGTGACACTGATAAATCGCAAAAGTCACGACCTGCTCGTGCGTAAAGAGCACAGCAGCTTCTGGAAATTGCCAAATAGATGCCGGTGTGTGACCGGTGGTTGTCATACCCAGGTCTTCTGGGTGCTCCAACAGAAAAGGAATAGAATTCGAAAGGGCAGCCGTGCAGAAAAGAAAAGGAAACGAACTGATTGCCATTATCCGCTGCAGCACGATGTGAGTCTGAAAGCCAAGGAAAACCCGCAGGGTAAATACGTGATCTCAGTGGCCGAGGACCCGGCTGTACGCATCGTGCCCGAGAGAAGGTATTGCAGGGCGGAGTCACCAAGACCACGTCCCACTCCGAATTTTGGACTTGAAGCAAGCACCGATCAGCCACTGCAGAGTCCAGTAAATCCATACTTGGGTCACGGCAGATGTCGACTTCGGACATCTCCAAAATGATGTTCTGTGACGTGCATAGGACCTCCAGCCAGGCGCGAACATCCGCCTTTCGAGTGGGACCAGAAAACAAGTAGAGGACCCGCAGCGAAGGGCGCACACCCGAAGTGGAATCCGAAACTGAATTAAACTCATCGCGACGAAGTCAGGAGCCGCCCTGCGCGCCATGCTGGTAAGCCGGGTGGTTCGCCTGGCAACCTTTGACTCTGCACGCGTGAACTCGCTGACATCCCTTGACCTGACACCCACGCTTGATGTTGTAAGCGTAACACAACTCACGTCCATCTGGTGTCTTCGAGACCAGATCGAACCATGACTCGCCGATTTTGATCTTGCCATCGGCCTTGCCCTTTCCATCCTTGCCACCTTTGTCTTTACCGCCCTTTTCCCCCTTCTTGCCGTCACCCTTGCGAGGCCACTTTGGCGGCGGAGGGTCGGCGCCGGTCGAGCGTCGAGACAATGCCACCTGAGACGTAAAATGCAGCTCCTTGAGCTCGGTGTTGGTGGTAGCCTCATGCAGCTTGTCACCCAGCGGGGCACTCAAACGATGCGCCTCCTTGATGGCCCATTTACGAAGCTCGAACTCATACTGAAGCAAGATATTCCAGGGCACAGACAAGGTGTGACGATCAGCATGTGCAGAAGAACTCATGGGAGCCGCCGATGCGACTTGCATGCTGTAGCACTTGTCTCCCAGAAGATATTCCAAGAAACGATCAAAATGCGACAACTGCAATCCCTGCAAATAAGCACGACCGCGACACTTCGCGGCCAACATCACCCATGTTGATGCCTCGAGCGGAGTTCCTCAGTGTTCTGTGGGAGCTTCCCCTTGGGCTTCTGGCGCATAACACGAAGGCGACCCTGATTGTCCAGCGAAGTCTGGAGCTGCAAAGAGTTGGACTCCTTACGCGAAATAACCTCATCAAGATAACTAGCGGCGGGCTCGCCATTCTCAATCTGCTCAAGCTTGTGTGCGAGGTACTCAGGTGCAGGCTCCTCAGATTCTGGAACAGAGTAGCCCCTTACCGCCTCCAAAGCAGCGCGCATAGCCGCTCGATCGGAAGAGACGAGGGGCTTCTGGACCCCCAACACCTTAGCCTCAGCACGAAGCTTAGCTTCCTCCTCGCGAATCAATTTGGAAGCTTCCCAAGAAGTGATGACACACGCCATCCTAGCACGATCTGCAGCACTCTCGGCTCGAACGCCGAAGTCAGCGGTGATGGCCGTCCGAGCCGCCCCCCTATCATCGGCAAACGCAGCAAATGTCCTGATACTCCTGTAATGCTGACCAATGGCGTACTGCAACGCTAAGTCAACACCATGCTCTTCCAGAAGGAAGATAAAGTCGGCATCGACGTTATCTTTCAAGAACTGACGCTGTGCCGCAGGATCGGCCGCCATTGTCGCTCCGAGGCGAGCGAAGCTAAAGACTGACAGTACTGAAAGAATGAAATCTGACAGCCCCAAAGGAGCACTGAGAGTCTGAGAGTGGCTCGTATAGTCACGTCGTCTGAGATTCACAACGTGAAGTACTGAGCAGAAAACTGCCCATTTCAAGCATCTGATTTGCTCCCGCAACTGCAACTGATAGCACTGACAGCACGCGGCACAAAGGCACTGAAAGCACTGAGGCAAACTGACACCACTTTGTACTGGCAAGCGAATCTGACAGTCTGATCTCAGGTGTGAAACCCCAAATCGGGAGCCCCACTATCCTCAGCCGGCTCCCCGAGCTCGGTCGACGAAGACTCCCCCGAACTCGAGGACGGATCCACTTTCTCCTTATAACAGAGCTTACAGAAGCTATCAGCAACATTCGGTCCGGCTTCCCAAACCTCGGCGAAGCGGTGGCAACTGCTCGGAGTGACCCAGCAACCATTCCTAATGTGCAGCCGACGATGACCAGAATGCCTGCTGATGCTAACCCAGAAAGGAGATTCCTTATCAGTCTGAGATGAGTTCGAAACCGGCGGGGCCGGGGCAGCGTTTTCCGTCCCGTCGGTGAAATCGGCCAATAAAGGCCAAGTCTGATTCAATACCTTGCAGCCAGAAACGGTGCGCATCACAGCATGAAGCCTCAACCACGGATCAGGATCAGAACCCCGATCGCGGAGCCACTCGCGCAGCTCATCAAACAGCTCCTCCTCGTCGTACCCGGGTTTGCCACCCGACAACTTGTCGCACACACGGCGCTGAATGTCATGCACAATCTGACGGCAGGTATGAATGTAATCAGAACTCTGATGCAGACCAATGTGCCAGCGACCTAAGTAATCGCGCCGTTCCTTCGGAACCTCCAGAACAGCAGCAATGGTTGGGAGAACATGACGCATGCTATGTCCCGTCCAGAACAAATAACACTCGTCACCAAGGAGGGCCCCTTCAGCCCTCGATTTCCACACGTGTTCACCAATCTTGCGAAAAGGAACTTTCAGCTGTCGCCAGATCAAACGCATGTAATTGCTGATGACCTCCGGTTTCGCAAATTTGAAAATCGGCTCCTCAAAATCTTCGGATGACTGGAACACCAAGAAAGTCCTGTCCAGCTGTCCAAGGCCCTTCCACAAGTCGAAACCCGAGAGCAGCCAATCACGACCAGACAATCCCACATCCCGACCCACAAAGAAGGGAACCTCAGCCACCTTCTTGTCGGGACCAGTTGTCTTGGCTTTGACTAAGAAGCCCTTAAGCCCATCACGAAAAAGCCTAAGCCTAGAAACGTCGATTCCTTGCAGATCGGACACACGCATGCAAGCCCAGACACACACCAGACAGGCCCACATAAGGCATCTAGCATATAATGGATTGCAGCTGGATACCACAAAGATCTCCAAAGAAAGTAACATTGCCACCGATAAGGGGGCCGCCTGCTTCTTGTTCGTGACCCCCACATGAACTTCCGCCTCTGAGCTCTTCGAGGCAGCAACCACCAATCTGTCCTTGCACAACTGGCTCGCCAAAGGAACCTGCCCTGCATCCTCCAGAACAGATAGAGCACTCATAAACTCCGAAATACAGCTCTTGGTGCCCACCTCCTGCTCCAAGAAGAGGAGATAGTCCACAACGTCACTCGGACGCCGCGGGAAAGCAACGGACTTCACAGAAAGCATCCAGTTCCGAGCCTTGCGCCAGGCTCGTGCCCGGTTCCTCAAAGTCTTCGAACGACGGGTACCCAATGCCCTCAAAGCATACAGAACCCTTTGTTCCTCACTTTCAACCGGAATATCCACGATGGGAAGCTTAGCCTCCACCATAATTTGCACCAAGACTGTACCCCAGAACTTTCTAGCAGCCTTCTCAGCATCAGCTGGCGTACCAGCCCCACCCGAGATCCATCTCGCATGAGCCCGACTGGTCTGCTTCGTTAACTCAAGGCTGCCGCTCACCAATTGTGCATAAACCTCACCAGGAGAAACATCACCACAAGGAGGCGCCACAATCCTCGTAGCCTTCGTCTTTAGCCTACCTTGCACCCGCTTCAACAAGTCAGTTTGATCCCGGAGCCAGCCCCAAATAAGCGCACCAGCTCTCTTATGGTCTGAGGACACAGCAGACGGAAGGACCTGCTCGGCCAGGACCACTGAATCCTCTAAGCTGTCCACTGAGCAGGCCAGGTGCCAAGGAGTATGAAAATGCAAACGCAGCTCCCTCACGCAAGTGCAGCCGGAATCTTCAAGAAGGTTCCAGAGCCTATCTTCCATCATATAATGCCATTGCGCGAAGAAGCCTGAAAGGCGCCCCCCCCGTAACTAAAATTTCTAAGATCCCCTCCCGATTGGTCCGCAATGTATCGGATGCATAGATCGGATTCCGCAAAAGCTCTCCAGAGATTATTCGAAAAGTCAAAGGTAAAACTGAAAAGGTTTCGTGGCCAAGGAAAAAGGCCAACTGAAAATGCACTAAAACTGACATGCCTAAAAGAGACTGAAAAACATGCAAGCACTGACATGTCTGACATGACTAAACATAAGTGCAACTGACAGAGCTGAAGACTGCATGACAACATGGCTGTGGTCCGAAGCCGCAGTGGCCGGGCGTACAACTGAAAGAACCGCCGCGTCCCTGCCATCCCCCCCACCCCCCCAGGCCTCCAGGGAACAATTCGTTTGGTTCGTTTCACTGCCCAAACAGGGCATGATCAGGTCTGTGACTGCTACTTCTACTTCGAATTATGCAACGGCTCACTGGACTCTTGTTAGAGTGTTGGCTTTCTTTTCTGGCTGCTGCTGAGAGTTATTCACCTCTGTGCCCGATCCAGGTTTGGATCATAAGATCTGCTGAGGGTGTTCGGATGTGGCTCATCCGGTTCTGAATGGTCTTCCTCACTACTGGAGTGAATACCAAGGAATTGATTCTCAGCTCTGGTAAAAGCAGCATCTGGAATGCCATATCCGTGATCGGATGTTTCTGGTCCTGCCTTAGCTTTCGGTGCAGCTTGTGAGCTGGTTGCCTTGGGATAACCTTGGGAGCATGCTGGCTGTTTAGCCTTTGCTTTCGCCTTTGCCTTCTGGCGGGCTTGTCCATCGGAGGATGGCCAGGAGTGCTCTGACTCGTCTCCTGATGGAGATAAAGCATTAGCATGTCTGCTATCCCAATATTGGTGTGTTGACGGTGACGGTGGTCCGTCATCTTCCTCTTCCTCTTCTTCTGAGTCATCCTCAGAACTTGGGTCGTCGAAGAGGCTCTCCAGAACATTCCGGAGATTGTTGTGTCTCCTCTCGATTTCAAGAGAGTTATGGAGCAGTTGATTGAAGATCGTCTTTGCATTTTGTAATGCAGTGACAAGAGTCTGTACTCTGGATAGAGTGTCAACATGCTTCTCAATGTGCTCTTTTCTTTCGTCTCTGTCCCTCTGGGTAGAGTTTCTCAGCTCCATCGTATAATCGAGGATGTTTGTGTACCTCGGCAGCGGCATAGTTACCGTCATGTCTTCGTCATTTATAACGGTTGCTCCATCGCCTGTAAGGCTTCGTTGGAGTACCTCAATGACGGGAATAAACTCTGTGCTGAAGACTTCTTCCTCGTCGAAGCTTTCGATATGCTGTAGCATATTTTGATGGAACTGTTCGGTTGACTCGATAGTGTGATCCATTGTTTCGATGTGCCTGTTGATAATGTTTCTGTTTCTGCACATCTCATTGGTAGCCGAACCAATACTAATTTCACCAAGAGCTGCATCTGCTTGATTGCAGAGTCCCTGCTCATGGGCTGCCTTGATGGCCTTGCGCTGAATGCGCTTGTTCATGCCACCTCGTCTTGTACAACCTTTTGGTCTAGCCGAGGGTACAGAAGCCGATCCTTGAAAAAATGCCTTGGCCTTTGGCGGCGAATGTTTCGGAGGAGGTGAGATGCAGGCTGCCTTGGAAGGCATTGGTGACATTGCCGAAGAGGCTGATGGTTTTGCACTTGGTAGCGCCGCCTGACCTCGGGCCTTAGCTGTTGAGCTCTTTGAGAACGTGGTGTGTGTCACACCCAGGGCTTCATTGGCCATTTGTGCATGAAGAGCATCTTCAAACAAACTCCTCATTTTAGGAATGTTGCTCGAGTTTTCATAGGCCCGGAGGCGATCAATGTCTCTTTCGGTGCCACGTGATCGTGTATCACCTCTGTTGAAGATATCGTTTCTCCGAATCTCCGCCGTTGTTACGGCATGGAAGCATGTTTTGCAGAGAATCTTTCGCGACTTATCTCTCGCTTGTCTGAGCTGATAGCATTCGCTGGAGAGATGATAGCACTGGCTACTCGCAGTATGCCAGATTGGTCGCAGATCTGTCGATTCTCCTGCGTTAACCCTGTTGGGTCCTGTCAGGTCTCTCGACTCAGGCTCGTCCTCGGGTTCGAGGAAAGGAGCACTTTGTTTGGCTGCTGCCTTCGGCTTCGGTGGGTGCTCCATACACTGAACTGGAGCTCTCGTCAACTGCTTCCACATCCACCGGAGCCCCATCAGCAAGAGGAAAACATTCCATACAATGCTGAAGAAGGAAAACTCATCACTTGTTAGTGAATCTGGCAGCGAGGAATGATCGGTCTCCGTTGGCTCTGCATTTGCTCCCCCACGTCTGGGGCGTCCGAACCATCCTGATAGTCCGGCTGCTGTTGCAGCAGTTTTGACTGCTTTTGCACTTGGTGCTGATGGTGGACGCGAAGATTTTCTTCTCCTCCTGCCTGAGGATTCATCTTCTTCTTCCTCTTCTCGTTGCGCATCCATCAGGTTTGATGTTTCGCGCTCGTGCTCCTCAATGTCACTCTGAGTTGGTGACTTCTCTTCATCGACTTCGTTAAGCTCGTCCAAAGACATGTTGAGCTTTTCGACCACATTTGGCCTTTGGTTTCTGGACCTTGATCTTGGTAGATCATGTTGGTCGGAAGAAGAGGATGCCCGCTCTCTTCCTGGTGGAGGA